AACTCTGACCATAGGATGGTTAGAGCTACCATTAAGATATCTACTCACTTAGATAAAAGTCATAATAAAAAAGAAATACTCTCACTGGACACGCCCACAAGACGAAACAACATTTGAAGACTACATTAACAACACTATTGATCATAGCATAATACCAAACGATGTCATTGAGTTAAACAAACAAATAGTTGATACACTTAAACTGGCACAAACACGTTTTTGCCCAAAGACTAAACGAGATCAAAATATCACTTTGAAAAACAAATTAAAATAACAGAAAGAAGACAGTTACAAAGTGAAAGGGACATTGATCCACAAACCATTTGGGCATGCAATAAAGACATATCGAAAGCTGTGAGAGGAGATATTAGGAAATTTAAACATGAAAAAATTGCACAGACTATAGAGCAAAACAGGAGCATAAAGGCGCATGAAGGAATAAGAGGGTGAAGTAACAACAGACAGACAGAAAATACTTGAAATAGTCAAATAATTCTACACTATATTATATACAAACCAAATTAACAGTAAGTAAATGAAGACGGTAGACAAAAGGTTAAACAGGGACTGAGGACATTCCAGAAATTACTCAAGATGAGATACAATATGCACTCAAAAAAAAATGAAAAACAACAAGGTGCTAGGAGATGATGAATAGTTACAGAAGCTATAAAACTTGCAAACTTCTCTTCTGAAAAAATACTAGACCTCTTCAATCTCTGCTTGTATAGTCAAAAAATTCCTATAGCTTGGAATAACTCCATTACAATTCTTCTGCATAAAAAGGGTAACAACATGAACCTAGAGAATTACAGGCAAATTTATCTACTCAACCATTTATACAAACTGTACATCAGAATAATAACCAATCGATTGAAAGCAAAATTTGAGCTATATCAGCCAACAGAACAGGCTGGTGTTCGCTCCAACTACGGTACAAATGATCACCTACAGTGCATAAAAGTCTTGATTGAAAAATCAATTGAATACAATAGACCTCTAGTTCTAACATTTATAGACTTCCATAAAGCGTTTGTTACTATCGAACTATCCGCACTTCCAAAGGCATTGGAAAGAGTGTCGAATTGATCATAGGTACACCAATATTATAGAAAATATATACAGAAATGCTACAACAACTATAAATCTGCACGGTCTTACCAATAAGATACATATCAGAAGAAGTATTCGACAGGAATGCACTATGTTGCCTAAGTTGTTCATTACTGTACTTAAACATGCTTTGAAATCACTGAAATGGGAAAGTAAAGAAATAAATATTGATGGTGAGATGCTTAGTCATCTCCGATTCGCAGATGATATTGTTCTGATTTCAGATGACCTAAAGGCTGCCAATGACATGTTGAATGAACTCAGCGATGCAGCACGTAAAGTAGGTCTAAATATTAACTACCAAACGACAAAAATGATGATACCATCCTTTAAGGGTAGAACACGTCAAAATTGAAATTGTTGACAGCTACATATACCTTGGACATACGGTAAAAATTAGCAGAGATAATCAAACTTGCTTTGCTGCTAAGAAGAATAACACTGGGATGGGCAGCATATGGAAGACTGCGTGATATTTTTAAAGGTGATATACCTATTAGCTTAAAAAGAAGAGCCTTTAATCAGTGTGTCCTGCCTGTCCTTAGATATGGCGCAGAGACACTTATCCTAACAAGGACATCTACACAAAAACTACAAGTGACGCAACATAGAATGGAAGAGATCATTGTTAGGCATAACGTTGCGAGATAAGGTAAGAAACGTAGAAGACATTATAAAACACATAGCCAAGATTAAATGGAGGTGGGCAGGACACGTCGCTAGAATGAAGGATAATAGGTGGACCAAAAAAATCTTGGAGGGGAGACCGAAAGCGGATAGACGAAACCGGGAAGACCACCCACAAGATGGACTGACGACATAAAGAGGATTTGTACCAACTGGATTTTAGCAGCGCAAGATAGATCTGAATGGAGGTTTTTAGAGGAGGCCTATATTCAGTAGTGGACGACTATGGGCTGATAATGAAGATGATGATGGTGATCCATAATCTAATTTACTGCGGATTAAGGTTTTGTAAATATTTAGTATTTAGTACTTTAAATATTTAGTACTAGTAATCATACCTAGAAATCTAAGTTCCTCAACGTATTCTAAAAGTTGATCATACAGGGTTAATTTTAGAAGATTTGCTACAATTTGATATTTTCAGTTGAGGAAAGCACATTACTTTGGTTTTAACTGTTAAAAAATTCAGTCCTGTTGTTTAAGACCATTCTTGTAGGTCCATATTAAGACTATTATCAGAAATACAGATTACGAGGTCAACAACTCCTTTTTCAATTATTATTAAGATAGTTTTATGACTTACTGATTATTCCTTTATCACATATTGATATTTGCTATATCATAATGAAGAAGAAAAGTTACTTAAAAAAGTCCCACTATTTTTTTCTGAGCGCTTTAGTAATTTGTTAGGTGTGAATTTAATGAAATGGTCACTTTTTATTTCTTCCACCGTATATACTTTAACTCCACAAAGTGCATTTAGATAAATTAGCCTTGCAAATTTTTATCTAACTTTCGTATCTGCAATAGACCTCAGGCATTTCACTGCAACATTCGAAAGCCTCATCCAAAGAAAAAATTCGAAAAGGTTCCAGTCACTTTACGATGGACATAAAAATCCGGGAAGGTATTTTTATAGTTTCCGTTTTATTGGTTATTTATTGCATCAGACAAAATTAGAGCATAAAAGAAAATTGGATGGAGTGAGTATTTATCCCCGCTAATGTATCGACTATACAAAAAATAAAAAAAATGATGGTCCTTCAACCTCTCTTAATCCAGAACGAAGTCTGGCTTTGAAAATAATTACTGAGATCCGGAGTGAAGGAATTGATTAGAAGGTATAAAATGGAAATGTAGAAATGATTTTAAAAGTTTTAAAGGGTTGTGAGTAGCCGAGGTAAGGGTAGACTGATTTTAAAATAATTACCTTTCCATTAAACGGAGTATTGTATTATTAATTAGGGTAAAAGATAATTGGATGAATAAAGATCAATACACTTTTATGTAATAATTACTATATTTTTGTAAATAAATAATTACTATAATACATTATGTTTTATATCGACCCACAAAACAAAGTAATTTGAGAAGACTGTTATTTTTTACTTTTTAATGAAACAAGTCAGTAATTTAGATATTCATTAAATTTCTTGTAATGACATTTTGTTCTGAAGCTATTTTTTTGGTATATTTTTTTAGAATTTACTACATTTAATGACAAAAACAATTTCAGTTAAAAGTACGTTTATATTGATGTTTTCATTGTCACTTTGGAAATCGTTTACAAAATCCAAATTAAACAAATTATTTGGTTTTGTTACTTACTAATATAAAAATTCTTTTAATAAGTAAGTTAATTTTAACTGCCTTGCTAAGTGATATTGACATTCACATTGACAGTGATATTGAGTAAGTCAACTTGCTATTAAACATCTTTGAAAATAATGGATATCCAAAACATATTCTCAAAAAACTGATATTAACTCGGACATTTTTGACGGTTTCACTAATATCGGAGCAGTACAGACAATTTTATATAAAAAAACTGCCATTTAAATAGAAACCAGATAAATGTTTTCAAAAGTAAAAGACAAGACTCCAACTTTTTAGAAAACTATTGTTATCTACAAATTGTGTTGTTCGGATTGCCAGAGCTGTTATGTCGGTCAAACTTCGCAATGGTTTAAACAGAGAATAACAAAACACAAAAATTGACTGTACAAAAAAAATACGTGTGCGGCAGATAACCTCCATTTAAAAACTGGGCAACATTTTGACTACCCAAAGGTCATGGTCTCAAGGCAAGAAAATAGTTACAAAAAAGATTGTTTTCGAAAATATGCCACATCAATAAAGAAAAAGAATCAATCAATTACAAGGCAGCCACGTTTTCCAATTTCCATTTCGTAATTCTTTTTATTTCGTAATTTAATCATCGTACAATCCTTCAAATTTTTATTATTTTTTATATAAAATTGTTCTGTACTATTACTGTAAAAAATACATTTAGTATTGTTCACTACAAAATCCCCCCTTTAATGTAAAATTCAAAGTAGTGAAATTATTTTTGCAAAAATTATTAACAACTGTTTCCATTTGAAAATTTTTACCTTTGCTAACGTTTATGAATAAATAATTGCACCAAATGGCTTTTACCACAGCATAGTTTAAAGGTCTTTCAATAAACTAACCAATTATTTTTCAGATTTTTGATATCATATAATGGTTTTAACGTACGGACGAAAGTTTAAAAAATCAACCAAAAAGTAAAATTGCTAGATAGTAATTAGAGCGACTTCTCATTTTCCTGGCCTATTTGAAATCTTCTGGATTGTATAATACCAAAATTAGTATTTCATTTCATTTTCATGTTTATTTCTCTCAGTTTCTCTCCCAATATATTATTACAAATTCCTTGTCGTTATTTTTTTCTGTCCTTATATTTGTTAAGTTGAAAATTTTTATTTTGCAATTTTCTTTTATACTTTATAGAACGTATTTCATGAAACTAAAATTCCGCAAACAGCTTTCATTCAATAAAAATAGTTCTATCGTAATATTTTCTGGAAAAAGAGCTGGAATTCTCGTAAAAACAACACAGATTTATGGTATTTACACTTTTTAGATCGAAATTTTTCTCACCTTTTCGAAAACAAACATGGTTTTGCAACAAGTGTAAATCTTCGTAGTACAATCACTGGTTGTACAATCATAACAAAGTAATATCATTAGCAGCACGAAAATTATTAGTTAGTGTTATTAGGAAAGAAAGTTAGTACTTAAATTATTACTAGAGCTATACAGTAAAGTAAATATAAATATTCAGGCAATTTTCAAAAGTTTTTTGCAGTAGATTCTGACAACATTGGGAAACCGAAAATCAATGTATCATTAAGCTTAAATCACCATAAAATATTATGGATCAAACAAATCTAACAAACTTCAAAGCAGAGCTGAACCTTACCTTAAACCAGCATTTAAACGACGGTTTTAAAATATTTACCGTTGCATCAAAAACCGAACAGGGAGTTGGTGTAGTTAATATTACATTGAACGGTCCCATAAAAGTGGATGAAGCTTCAGAAAGCTCAAGAAAACCTCAGAACAGTAAACTTCTTGTGGATACCTTCTTACATTGGTATCGAAAGCAATGAATTAACAGCTATAAGTAATATTTATTTATTTATCGTATGGTATAAAATAAGAACACATAATTAAAAATCAATATAAAACGTTACATGGAGTATTAGAAACGAACATCTAATGTATTATTAATATATTGCAAAACTCTTTCGACCACATTCAGGAACTCATCTAAAACTCCAGCGAAGCGCCTTCGGGGGCATTCTTCAACAATGTGACGGACAGTCTGTTGTTGCGCACCACAGCCTCACTCAGGAGTATGTTATTTTTCCCATCTATATTATAAGCTATCAACACATCTGCTACTGCTTGTTCTTAATCTGTTTAAAGTTGTTCGTGCATTGCAGGCCAGTTCAAATCCTGGCATTTTCTGATCGATACAGGTCATTTGGTGTGCTTTCTGTGGTGGGTCGCTCTATAATTGTCTTCTCCAAGCGTTGGTAATGTCGAAATGTTCCTGATATAAAAAGTTGGCTCTTAACAATGAAGGATTGCTGGAGTGTAGCCTGTTTATTTAGATATCAAGCTTATCATGGTGGATGGGTAGTTAATGGTTAGTCTCGATTTTTCGATATTCTCTGATAAGAGAATAATTTCTTTGCATTTTCGGCGGTGAAATGTGAAAGATCATTCGCATTGTCTGATTTAATTGGAGGCTATTAAGTATGGAGGCTGAGTTTTCAGTTTTGCTGCCGTTCTTTGTATGTGATCTTCAAAACCTAATATTCTGTCCAGAATCACTCCAAGATATTTTGTTGTTGAGTTATGAGTAAGCATTCTGTTTTTAAAGTGAACGGAGAGTTTTTTGTTAGCTTGGGCATTATTCAGATGGAAACAACATACTTCGGTTTTCATTGCATTTGGCCGTAGCCTCTATTTGCGAAAGTATTCTCCCATAACGGTAAGGTCATCCTTTGGTATTGTTTCTATAATATCCATGTTATTATGTTTTAGCTGAGCTTCATTTAGACTCTTTTAAAGTTGCCCATTGTGACTAAACAAGGTCTGTCGGTGAGCATGCTATCAATAAGTTAAGTTATCTTTTGACAAATGATGGCACGGATTAATTTGCAGATTAGTCCTTGTCTCCTGACAGTATCAGATGCAGCTGATAAGTCAATGAAAACAATGGATGTTTTTTCCTTTCTTTGACAACCTGCTTCAATATGTGTTGTTAGCGATAGGATCTAATCTCTGTAGCTTCGGTTAGGTCTGAACCCTGTTTGCTCAATAGGTATCATTTCAAATATGTTTCTACTAATTCTGTTGTAGATTAAGCATTCCAAAAGTTCATAGACATAGCTCAGTCCTATAATAGTCCTATAATGGAGGTCTATTTAGTGAATGGAGAATTTCTCCTGATATTAACGTATCTGTATAATAATCAGCCAAACTCTTCCTAGCATATTTGTTACAGTGGGGTAAAAATTCTGGATTGATTTTTTCAGAGCCAGGTGCCTTTTTAGACTTAATTTCTAAGATTGCTAAACTAATTTCTTCTGGAGTAAACTCATCAGAGTATTCAGATGTAGGCGAGCATACAGACTTTTATTAGACTTTGGATTTTTAGTTTTTGTTTCACTTTGGTGGTGTGGTTATGATTTCTAGGTGCTCTTGAGGTTGCTACGATGTGGGAGGCCACTCTGTTGGGAGCTGCCTATAGTTGGGAGTCTGCTACTATCAAGTTTTTTAATTAAAAACCATGCTTTTTTGCTTGATGTAATAAAGTCTAATTTTTCTACAGTGTTCATCCATTTTTGTCGTCTGGCTGCATCCAAAATGTGTAGTAGTTTGTCCGCAATTTCTCGTTTTTGGCTTTCATTGCATTATTGATACAATTTCTTACAATATAAGTGGTATAATTGCTCGTGATGCTTTCGATAACGGTCAATCAGAGGTCGAATATCGGAGTGTAGTATGTACGTGATTTAAAAGCCGTTTTTAAAAATAATTTGTTAAGTGTGTGGAAAAGTAGCATTTCTCTATAACAACCGCAAGCAACAAGCAGTAGATCGCAAGTAATCCTATCACATCTCAAACTGGACTATAGTAGGTAGACACACACACACACTTAAACAGAAACACATTTTTGAACAGAAAATCCTCAAAGTGTTCACTTTGTGATGTAGTAGACTGTATAGATAATTTTATGATTAACTGTCCCAAATATACCATTAAAGGACATTTATATGGCATCACCAATAGCTTGCAAACGGTATATGACTATATATACCGTTTTTTTTTCAAATACTATATGACGATTTATTTTTCATGATAATAATAATTTAAAAAATTTGGTTATTGAAGTTCGTTATCCATTAAGTGAATAAATATGATATTACACAGCAAATATTACAGGTAATATATTCACGATATGTATTAGCCTTAAAAAAAAATAAAAGCGTTTGTGAATGTTTGTCTTATAAATTAGTCTTGGTCTGCAGGATTAATAAATAAATAATAAATACAAAGTTTCCGATATTTTTTTGGATCTGTACCTGGCCTATTTTGCGATACCCCCAAGAATGTTCTTATCTTTGTATTCCTTTCTTTTTTGATCCTATTTGTCGTTCCGTTGGAATTCGGAGACTGATAAACGAAAACAATCCGTTTTATTTGTCACGTATCTATTCCTACTATTGGATTTTCATCTGCATGGCAATTTAAACGAATGTAATCCCACTGAAAACCGGTCAAAGGGAATTGAAAATGAATTTTTCATGGATTGCTCAAAATCCGAAAAATCCTCTTTATTTAAAAACGTAAACAATGTAATATTAAACAAACAGTTGCAATAAGGATTGAGGTTCGAATTATGGTGATTACAGAGTTCACAATAAAAAGGAATTAGAATGTATCAAGTTTGTTTACTATTTTTTATGTATATGTTACAATTATCTTGTGTATAAAATGTACACATATATATCTTTTATAAATAAATTCTACACCGAAAGTGTAAATTGATTGTGTAGAATATAATAGCGTGATATATACGAGCAACAAATACAAAAAATACAAAAATAGAATTCTACAAAATATTAATAATACGCCTAGTCCTAACATATAGTTCAGAGACCTGGACTCACATGTTAGGATGTTTCAAAAGAATTGTTCATTCATGTGATCACCATCACATACTACTAGGCATGTGGGAAGAAAACAACTTAACAACTACAAACAAAAACAAAATAAAATGATCAAACTACAAACGACTTGTGAGTATTTGAATGAACATCCCAAATATTACCAATCCACAAGAAAAAGTTGAGCTTAATTAAAAACATCAATAAAGAAGCCCTAAGATGATAATACATTAACCAGGAAACAAAAGGCATGACAAGGAAAAAAACAGAGTCAAAAAGTGAGCCAGAAAACAGGAAACCAGGAAAACAGAAGACAGAAAACAGATAAACAGGTCAAATCGGCTAAATAATCAGGTCAAAAGGGTACTAGCAAAACATGGAAGACAAAGGCGGGACAATTATGTACAGGAAATAGAGGAACAGAAAGTCAAAATATGCAAGATATTTTAAAATTGGAAAAAAAAAATTAAGAAGCGATAGAAAACCCATACCCTCACTACAAGGAGAAAATGGAATTATCTACTCCAACAAAGAAAAAAACGAGGTGATGAGTAGGACTCTTAAGAGCTAGTGTACACTTAACTATGACTAACACGAGTATATAGACTTAATTGAAGTCGAAGGAAAACAAGAAATGCGCAAAGAACCAGGAGAGATAACTACACCCATATCTCCACAGAAAAAAGTGAACAAATTAAAATAGTTCATCAAGAAAAGAACTTGGTCCAGATACAATCACTAACAGAGCTCTAAAGTATCCAACATGGTAAGCAGTAAGTAGTGTAACTGCCCAACATAACAAATGCAATACTTAGATACATACTCTTCTTAAATCGAAGGAAGGAAGCCCGAAACCAGGAAAAGATAACACGTTTTCGAAAAATTACAGGCCGATTAGCTTACTTGTAGTAGTCGGCAAGATTATATATATTTGTAAATCTAAATATATATTTATAAAAAAATATTCCCTTTTACAAGCCCACGTGGCATAAATGACAATATTTTCAATGTATCGAATACACTCTAAGGGTTGGATAAAAATACAGCTCATCAAAATCAGCGTTTGGCAAACTTCTGCAAAATATTTCAAAACACAATTGAGCAAATATGTATATTTAGAAATTACTTTTTTCATATCCATATATCTCTCCAGTTGAGCGTAGTTTGTATTCAGCAGAATCGGCAAAATTTTAATAATAATCTCTGTGTGGCGCATCCCGCTGGGCGGGTTTTTAACAGAAAATGAACTTGTTTGTATAAATCTGCCTCTGCAATTTTACGCTATTATAACCTTTCCAAAAACACGCTATGAAAAACAGCTTTGTGCGGCTCTCAGCTTAAATAAACGAAACCGGGTGTTTCCCTGAAAAGATAAAAACAGCCAAAGGTGTTTTAGAAATTTTACCATGTATTATTTGGTATTTAAAAGCTTTCAACAGAAATATGATTTAATAGGTTCCACAAAAATGGGCTCAATTATTTAAATGAAGGTTTAATTAGGTGGACAAATTTGAAAATCTCGTCTTTTAAGTCCAACACTACGAAAGTACTTTGGAGCTGTTATTGCTAGTGCTTAGAAATATATTTTTGGCAAAGATTGATTGAAAGTGTAAGACTCTAAAGAGTGTCGATTAACAGAGACAAATAAAAAATGAAAATGAGAAGGATTATAAATGCATACATTGAATATATGTATCCTTGATACGAATACCCCTTAATGCCTAAGCGGGGCATTTAGAAACCCCAGTAATATATTTTCTTTGTTGAATTTTCCTTGTACTCAATTGCGTGTTTATCCAACCATTCGATTATCTCTCCTTTTTCCATGCCGTTGTTGACAATTTTTCTGCTAGTCTTGAATGGTAACTAGCATTATCCACG